TTTTGTTGGATGAATATTTAATACCAAACACTGGACAGGTCAGTGTCCCTGCCATCGCACAGCTCATAGTTTAGTGAGGGACACAGATGTGTGAGCAAACATAGTTCAGGATGAATAGTGACTCTTGTTTGCCCAGGATATTATGGGAGTAGCAAAGGGAAGTATAAAAGAGGTGCCAGGAAGAATTCCGGCCTCAGCTAGTCCAGAATGTGAGTTAATTTTAGCCAGGCAAAGGGTAGAGGAAGGAGGGGCACTTCCAGGAAGAGTGAACTGTTAGTGTCAAAGCCAAAGGTGGCACTGAAGGAACTGCAAAACCTGGGCTTGGCTGAAGTTATGAGTGGAGAAAGATGAAGTGTGAGAAGAGGGCAGAACCAAATCACAAATAGATCGGGACAGCTTGGGACTTTAGGCTTCATCCTTTTGGTGGTGGAGAGCAATGAATAATAAATAGAGCAATGACATACAATTTCTGTTTTAGAAAGCTCTCTGTGGTGGCTGGCAGGGTGGCAGATGGGTTTAAAACAGGACAAGCAGTGGAAGCCAGGAGACCTGTTAGATAACTGCAGTACCTTAACCCAGGCCAGGGAAGTGTGGGCCTGAACTAAGACAGCTGAGGCAGAAGAAATGGGGAGAAGGAGATGGATCTGAAAGATTTGTAGAAGAATTTGGTAATTAGAGGACCCAGGAGATAAAAGGAGAAGGATGATTCCCAGGATCCTGCCCTGAGCTGTTTATTTACTTGGCTGCCAGAGGAGAGAAGGGGGTTGGGGAGTGGATGAGAGGAGGGAAATACTTTTGGACATGAGTTTGAAATGCTTGTGGGACATGCAAGTGCAAACGTTGATGGCTATGTGGGTTGTCTGAGGCTTAATGGCACAATGAGGCCAGAACTCGGGTCTCCTGCCTGTCAATCCCAGACTCTTGTCACACTCTCTAGTTGCCTAGGACAAACCAGTTTCCCCTTTTCATCTCCAAATATTCCCTTCTGCCTCTCATGGTCCTCTGCCTAGTGAATCTCCAAAGTGGCTCCTGGGGCTGTCTCAAGATCTCTGGTTTTCCTGCCTACATTTGTGCTCATTCTTCCTTCCCCTTGGCTGAAAAAAATTTTGTGCTTGCAAAATTATAGGCTAGTTCCTTGTGCAAGCTCTCTTTATCTGCTTTAGTTTTTTTTTTTTTTTGAGACAGAGTCTCACTGTGTTGCCCGGGCTAGAGTGCCGTGGCGTCATCCTAGCTC